AAAATCAACACTTTACAGACTTTATACAAATCAAAAATCCCAATAAAACGGCATTTTTTTTTAAATAAAAAGGCATTGGCCTTCATTTTGAATTCCATTTTGCCAGGTCGTTGGATTGCCCTATAGAATCTAACCTCAAATGTGAGTGTGTTATTATGATTTTGCTGCAACGATTTTTTAAATATTAACCACTATTTAATAGCAGTGTTTGGTTTCAAAATGCAGATTTTAACCCTTGGACTGTGTTGGAGTTAGTGCTGTGCAAATTTCTCCTTTTTCTTCCGCATTTGAGCATATTTCTGTGTAACCTGAAATCTAACCCAAAATGTCCAACACATGCTCCAACTGTGACCAAGTTTGTGTTTTTAAAGGGCCGAAAAGCTCAAATGACACTTTTGGCTATCCTTTGTGATTTGTGCAAAAAGACTCTGTGTAGAAAGTGTTCAGGAATCAGCACTACCGAACTTTGGATCATAATTATGAGCAGTCGAGTAATGCCATACATATGCAAATTGTGTGTTCCTAAACTGCAGGATACACTACAATCGATTACCTGGGTCACAGCTCTTGAAACCCACTTCGCTGAAGTTAAAACTTATTCTCAAAAGGTGCTCGATCTGACCGATTTAATTCAAGGTTTCTCGGAGGAGATGAAAAGTATAAAGACTAGCTTTTCAACATGTCTTGATGACATTAAATCACTGGTAAAGGAAGAATAAATAGAGGATTTGAAAAGAACATCAGCCGAAACTCGACCAATGACCAAGATGGGCACAACAGAATTAAAATGGAGCAGTGTTGAATCAGAAGAAATGATGATTGAGCTAACTGAGCGACAAAAGAGAGAATGTAATATTATGAGAGAAAGACTTAAACAGCGCAAAAAATTTGTTTAGAGATTTTAATGTGGACATTACAGATTTAAGATTATTTGGGGTGGGTAAAGTTCCTCCGAATAAAAAGCGTCTGCTTAAAATAATTCTCAAGAGTCGCCAGGATGCAATTTCAGTCCTAAGAAATAGAGTTCATCAGGGATTTGTGTTATCGTTGATGTTGTTTAAGATCTATTCCGAATTTGGGATAAAACAGGTACTAGATGGTTGGCACGGTGGTGTAACTTTTGGTGGAATCAGTGCCGGTACTTTAGCTCTCATTTGACAGCCGTTAAAAATAATCAGGGCTTAGAATGTGCTCTAACCACATCATACTTTATAGACCTTGGCCCCAATATATCTAATTTAAGATTTACCGACGATACTTTTTCTCAGTACGAATTGTTAACCGTACTTAATATCTTAGAACATAGTGGAGCATATGGTCTCAGTATCAACTACAATAAGACCCAAGGTCATGATCATTGATGACTAACAGATATTCTAAAAATGCCTGCATTGGTTTTTATGTCTGCTACTCTAATTTTGCCATCGGAACCAGGAAACACAGCTTGTATCTTACCCATTCGCCATTGTTTTCTTGGTATATTGTCTTCAATAATCACAACTATATCGGTTTGTTTTAACTGTTGCCCATCATCATTCCGCTTTAATCGTTTTGTTAATGTTGGTAGATATTCTTCAGTCCACGTTTTCCAAAATGAATCTATCTGTTACTGACATCTCTTCCAATGAACTCTAAGATCACTGTTACTACATGATCTGTAGGCAAATGAATCGGCGTTCGACTGTGCCATAATAAAATGGTTTGGTGTCAACGCCTCAAAATTGTCTAGATCCGAAGAGACTTTGGTCAAAGGTCTGGAATTAACGATGTTTTCAGTTTCGGCAAATAGTGTTAAAAGAATTTCATCTTTTAACTTTTGATTTTTTAGTATTGAAAGTAACTTTGACTCAACAAACTCATGTTTCCCATGCTCCCCCCATATGTGGCGATGCTGGTGGTATGAACTTCCAAATGATTTCATGACTTCGAAGACACTCCGTCATCTTTAAGTCGTTTATTTCTTTGCGTAGCTTTTCTAATTCCTCTGATGCCCCTCGGAAATTGGTCCATTATCCGTATAAATTTCATTCGGATACCCTCTTCTACTTACCATTCTTTTAATTGCCATCATAGCTGCGTCGGTAGTAAGTGAATGTGCCACTTCCAAATGTATGGCTCGAATTGTGAGACAAGTGAACACAACTCCCCTTCTCTTTTCTGTTCTTCTACCTACAGTAACATTTAAGGGACCAAAATAATCTATGTCGGTGTATGTAAATGGTTTAATGTCCGGAGTCAGTCTAAACTTAGGTAGATTCAAAAACGTTGTCTAATTTCATTTACCGCACAGTCTCTAAACCCTGATGTGCAAACTGTTCATGATACTTTTGAATAAATAAGATGGTTTATCTGTGTTTCGATGGTAAGATAATTGGACTTCTTGTCAGTGTCACAGTATCTGGTGCCAAGTTTAATCTTCCATCTACCACAAGAATACCTGTTGCATCAAGTTTCGATGAGAGCTTCCATATCCTACTTTGTTTTGACACTAGTTTTTCCTTTTTCATACAGTTTATTTCTTCTGCAAAACTTTCTAATTGACACTGTTTGATACATCGTGTTTCAGCTTCTTTTCAATCTTGTACTGTCAACTCTCCTGACTTTTTGTTTGGAGTATACTAATAAATTTAAAAACTCTTGCTGTTGCACCTATTAAACAAAGTCATTTTGAAAAATATTCTATGTTAGTTCCGAAAAATGTTGGTTGTAATTCTCGTGTGACTTGAGACACCAAATTTTCATCAAATATATCTTTTTTAGGCCATAACAATTCGTCATTTTCTTTGAGAAAATCAGGACCTGAGTGTCATGTTTTGAAATCTGTTATAACTGTACTTTGTGTGTCGTAGGTTCTTGTTGCAAGGTCAGCTGGATTTAATTTAGAAGGTACCCATCTCCAAATTCTGCTATCAGATATTTCTTGAATCTCCCCAACCCTGTGCTTCAAATTGTTCAAGTTTTATATCATCTTTTTTAATCCAATGCAAAACAGTAGTTGAATCAGTCCACATGTAAATTTTGTTGAATATTGATGTTCAAGGCATTTTTCACAGTCACAAGCAATCTGATCCCAGTACCGCGGCTTGCAATTTCAGTCTTGGAATGGAAATCGCCTTGATTGGAGAAACTCTTGCTCTGGCCACCAAGTGAGGTGTCAATTATTTCTTTGGTAATTACTCGTAAGTAAACAGCACATGCAAATGCTTTTTTACTTGCATCATAGAATACATGTAACTCTATCCTTTTAGCTTCAGGAATATGGAATGAATAACATCGGGGAATTCTTAGATCTGCAACTAATTCAAGATCATTCATCCATGCCTTAAAAAGTTCTGCATCTATGCTGTCATCCCAACCGATGCCACTACGCCAAATGTCTTGTATAAGTATTCTGCCCCGAATTAACAAATTGACTACCAAACCTAAAGGGTCAAAAACTGACATGACAATTTTTACAACTTGCCTCTTAGTCGATCAGCAAGTTTTAGAAATTTCTCTGTCAACAGTGTTAATTCTGAAACAAAACGTATCCACTCATGGCCGGATTAAGCTTTCATGGAGCCCGGGGCTAGAGAAGTTTTAGGGGACCCTTCATAAATTAGGTGCAAAAAAATATATATAAAAAAAAATATATTCCTGATCTAACAGTCTGACACTGCTATACCTATTATCTATTCACAATCCGATGTCCAAAGGTAAAGGACTTTACGCACTAGTGCGTGAAGTAATTCACCAGAAAAATAGTAATTTGACAGGTCGACATCTGTCATTGACATTACTTTACGCACTAGTGTGTGTCGCGAGAATTCAAATATTCGTCTACGTAATCTTTTTTGATGATTGCATCCAGTGGCGGCTCTTCCTAAGGTTTGCAAGTTTGCGCAACCCCCAAAACAAAAGTTGAAAACAATAAAACAAAAAAGAACTAATATTTTAGTACCTAGTAATTATATTTTAAAAATAAATTATACCAAAATTTGGTACCTGCATAATACGGGAGGAGCTTTCCCGCAATAAATTTATCAATATAATTTGATTACCTTCGCCAAAATGGCAATAACTGACTCGCTGTCGCGCCGGATTGCAGCTCGAATGCAACCCGATCGGCTTATACGACGTCGCATGGTGCCTATCTACGTGTGGATGCCAATTCCGTCCCATAAGCTCCAGCAGGTTGCAGGCGAATTGCAAACTTTCTTCACTTTTTTGCGCGCACCGCAGATTAGGTTTGTTTTAAAATATTTTATTTTAGTTTGTGGTGTGGTGCGTGACAAAAAAATGTTTAAAGTTTAATTGCAGAGCCATTCTGTGGTCGATCATTATCCGATAAAGCTGAAATTGGAATTGCAACCCCACATTTCTAATATAGGAGCCGCCACTGATTGCATCAAGAATTTCTGGATCGTCTGCATAGACTTTGGCATCAAGATTTTTCACAAACGGATTACATATGGGTGAACAAGTTTGCACCAAAAATCATTACTTGCATTTTGAAGGTTTTATATGGCGATTTAGTGTCAGATCTCCACAAAAATCTCTGTGATACCTGGTCTTTTTTTATGCGAACTTGGTGAAACATCTAACATCAGCACAAAAGGCTATATTGCTTTGGCGAAATTTCATAAGTACCTCCACCGGATGCTGCAAAAGGTCAGGACCAGGTTATCATTTAGACGCATTCCATTGGATTTAGCAGCAGCGTCAAATACTAATCGAAACTTGTTTGGCTTGTTTGGATTGAATATTGAGGGAAATGTGGGAAAAACCAACATCTTGGGCTTTCGATGTTGGCCTCTTTGTCTGTCAACTCTCTAGCATATCCTTTTTCAATGTAGCTTTTAATTTGGTTACCATATTTCAGTCTCAGGGTAGGGTCCTTTTTCATTTTCCTTCCTATGCAGTTAAATTTAAAGTGTCGGCTTTCCACAAGAGTCCAATTTCATATCTGTTGTCAACTTGTCGTGCTGTCTGCGTCATAATGTCCAGTGCTCTCTTCTCTTTCATATTAAATGAGGATACGTTGGAAACTCCAAAAGCGTAGGTCGTGTTCTGGGTATATTTGAATGCTGATCATTGTAGTGTCCATGAAGAATCCAGCCTAACATGGATTTAGTAGCTATAGGTAAATAAGTAGGGCCTTGAACAACTTTTCTAGGTACAATTATTCGTATATTATCTTGGCCAATCAAAAACAAAGGATTATTTATGTCTTGAATAGGTAAACCTGCTAAATGTGAAAAATGTTTCCATTGACTTTTCAAAACGTGTTGATTTGGAAGAGCAAGATTTTTCACAGAACGGACCTTTCTTAATTTAAGCTGTTTGGCCTGATGGTAGTTAGTTGATGCAGGAATATCGAAACATACGGAATCTTTCATTGGTTCTAACAACTTCGTTAGTCCACTGCACGCGGAAAGGTTCTCGTTTCCCCTGTACTCGTAGACTTTCAAGAAGTGACTCATCAATCAGAGTAACTGTCGATGCCTCGTCACAAAGAGCTACTACTGTTATTCTGGTACCATTCGGACCATAAAGAATAACATTTACCATTACAAGTATAAAACGTTACCTTTTTCTTTGTCTTGTTTAGTAGTCAGTACTTTCTGGCTCTGGTTAAAATTCCTATTATTTTCGTCATCTTGATTATCTATTTGATCTTCCTTTCTAGACTGACTGCTATGGATGTCTCTTGTATCTTGAATCTTGTGTAGAAATTTATTGTGAGGTCGTGTGCAGTTATCTACTCCACAGGATTTTCTGGATTTGCACTTCGTGATATGATAACTACTCTTTAAGCATGAGAAACAGAGCTTTCTATTAGTAATTACTTTCCATCTTATATGTATTGTTCGTCGATTTTAATCTGATACTCGGACGGAATGTGAGCTGGTGGCTCCCTACATTAGAACGCCAATGGTTACCTGACGTCACACCTGTTTTTGCCATATGAAACACCCCCTCGCTCCTCATACCGCAAGTATCAGTTAAAAATCGACGAACAATACATCATCGGATTTAAGTTTTAAGCGCATTCACCTGTTGAAATCGTTAAGGCTTTTTCATGTTTTGACTGTAAATGTTCTTGTACTGGAAATCTTGAATGTGTGGTTTTTATAGGTAAAATACAACAAGCTACATTTTTCATTTTCTCTCACCACTGAGCAAAATGTTCGAGATTTCTTGTGTGCCCTTTGTCGTAAATTTCTTCTCCGCAGCGAAGTTTCATTGTGTCTGGTAATTTTTGAACAGCTACTTTAAGTACTAAAATATTTCGCAAATATGCTTCAAAGTCTAAACATTTTATTGTACTGACCAAATTACTGATGTATGTGGAAAACCAAATAAGACGACTGTCCATTTTATTTCCTCTTATTTGAGGAAAACTTTTTATTCTATATAGCATAGTCTCAATAATCTGTTCTGCGGTCTGCCAAATCTTAGCTCTAATGTCTTAATGACTTGCTCTTAATTTTTAGGACTTATTAGCATTCCTGCTACAGCGTTTCTTGTCTCCCCCTTTAAACATTTTTGAAGTTTAATCATCGATTCCTCTGAGGTGTACTCACATAGTGCTGAAATCCTCCTGAACGAGTAAATGGAAGTAGGCCAATCCTCTGGTCGTTCGTCGAAGAATAGAGAGTCCTTTTCCATTCTATGTCTTCTTCCAGAATACTTATATTCAGGCTGTTTATTTCTGCATTCGTTTCTTTGCATATTATTGTCGACCTTCAATAAAAATTTGTTAATATAGTGTCACATACCTAACTGGTTTACTTCTGGGGGCCGTATTCTTGATTTCTGGGAGGAGAACTTGCTCGGGAAGTGGACGTGGTTTACCTCAAAAAGGTACATGTCATATTCTTGAAAATGGGACTGTGAAGTGAAAGTTCCCGGGAATTCTGAAGTTCCCATCCTCTTACCCAAGAGAAAACGAATTCCCGTCAGGGTTTCTAACCTCAAGACTTGACGTTGTTTTCAAGCTTGACGTTTTCGTTTTATCCTTTCAAATTCAAGGTTTTTTCGTTTTTGTATGCGTTGTGTCTTTTCATTAAAATGAATGTGGATGTGGATTATTTTATTGAGATTATCTTGTATAACATACCTAACATAATCCAAGAAGACATGAAAAATGCTTCAGAAGCAAAGGAAATAGAATGGGATGTTCTGCCTTTTCCATTGGCCAGAAATTCGTGAAATTTTTTAGAGTAAGCAAAAATGTATGCCACGAAATAGTGGATATGGTGGATATGGTTACTCCCGTATATTACCGCTCCAAAGCGGCTTTAACCAAAACTACAAAAGTAGGTATGCATAGAACACATTATTCCAGAAGTTGATGAGCCACATGAAGTTCAGGAGCAGGAATACGGAATTTATTAATTTATGCTGCAGAAAATTATGCGCAATTTTCCCTCATGTATAAAAAATCTCATGAGGAATGCAGTTTTCGAACACTTACAGCGATGATGTTCATAGGGTAGTTAAAAATAAATATATTATCAAACCCAAATGCCTTTCAGCTTTCAAAGTTTTGAAAAATAGACAATAATAAATATCAAACGTGGGGTTAGATATTGGGTTAGATAACTTCCTCTTCCTTTTTTCGCTTGAAACACGTTTTGGTTAGTTTGATTGACACTCTGATAGGCGGCAACATTGCGAGCGCTTGTGGGTATTCAAGAATACGACCTCTTAGCTCCCGGGAGCGAAAGTGAACTAGCTTTCCTGGGAACGTTCCCAGGAACACTCCCTTCCCGGGCAGTCAAGAATACGGGGCCTGATCTATCTTTATTGACATCACTATCATCAGATACCGAAATGTCTGATTTTTGCAGCTTAAGATTTTCTACCCAATTCTCTACAAAATCTTTTTTAAATGAATAATCAGAATTTTCCGCATATGCGGTAACATTACCACTATTTTTTGAATTTGTGGGTGCTGGTGGAAATACAATTTTATGTGTGTACTTTGAACTTTGACTAATTTTACAATTATCTACTGACCTTGTCTCACTGTCTCTAAGACTTCTGCTTGTTGTATATTATAGCAGTTCCTAATTCTATTACCTTTTATTCGTGTGCACACTTTCTTCTTTCTATTTACATTTCAAACTTTTTCTTTTCCATTCCGAACATTCTGTTTTCCAGACTATTTTTCTTTTTCTCAGCCTCTAATTCAATCATCTTTCTTCTAATTTCAGAATTTGATGAATATGTTGACAAAGTGACATAATACTTGTCTTCTTTGACATCCCAGGTAATTTATTTTTCGACAAAACGTCACTACCATCTCTTTTTTCCTGTAGGTATGTCATCAGGATTTAAGAGAAACGAAATTCCTGGTACGGAATTAGCTTTGGGATTGTCTACCCTCTGGCTTTTTCTTGCAGATTTTTGACCAAAACCTGTGTACCATTCGAACTGAGGATCAAGGTGTTTCATACCTGAAGTTTCACGTTTTTTTCTACCTGTCTCATTGGTTTTCTCCATAAGGGATTTTTTTTGCGAGTTTCACTTATATCTTTTTCTATAGGACAAGTTCGGCGGCTCGAAGGACCAATGTTAAATTCTTAGTTCTGTCTGGCTTCTAGACTCGTGTGACACAAATTAGAATCTTCTTGACAATTTTTTAACGTTTATTGACAACTGCCATAATGACATTTTTACAAATATAAATAATAACTGGTGACAAAAACAAAAGGTTGAACCAGAAAATAAGGCTGTGTTCAACAGGGAACATGGCAATTATCCTGCAATTACATCAGTAGGCCGTTGTCAGGCGGTCCAGATTTTTGCATACCTTGGTTCTTTGATCAACAATTCAGGTGGCTGCGAGGTTGAAATCCGTTGGCGGATTCAACAAGCGCGGTCAGCCATGACGAGACTCGCTAACATATGGCGTGACAATATTATCACGATAGCCACCAGAATGTCACTTGTCCGGTCTCTTGTTTATCCATATTTTTGTATGGCTCTGAGATTTGGACTGTTAGAAATGTGGACTTAATAAGGGTGTTTTATGGCGATTGGTGCCTATGGCACCCTATATGAGTCTAATCAGGGATTGAAAGGTTTTCATCAGAGCAACGTTGTCACATTTTTCAGTTTGAGAAACTTTTTAGAGGCTTGGAACCGGTAAGCACAATAAAGGTTTTAATGAATGAAACACTACCTCTACTGTAAAATAGGTATTCCACTGAGAATTTATTTATATAAAATATATTAATTTTATCTTATAATAATGTTGATTATTTTGTAAACACATTCTAAACGTTTGTTTGACCTTAGGATGGTCATTAACCGACCTTCGCGAGCCCGCGATAAAAAATCTACATTATTAAATAACCGATAGTCGTTTGTTTATTAATAACAGATACATTTTATGCGAATAAATAAATCAATAATAAATATTGTTAGGTGCATATTTCGACAATTACATTTAGGCAGATGGATCAGATTCCAAAAAAATGTGCGTAGGCTTTCAGTATGCCCTCGAAGACTATTATAAGACAATCAATTTTTATCGACTGTAAATTATTATATTAAACAAAATAAGAATAGACGTTTCAAGACAATAGACAGGAGTGGCGCAATTCTATTAAAAGTTATGTGTTTACAATAGCGTCGCGGCTTAAGTTATTGCATAACTTTGTTGTAGATGTTCTAAGAGGTGGACAAAAACGTATTCAATGAGAATTCAAGCAAAAGAAATCAGTCGAAGTGGTCGAAGCTAATGAAATTCTAATTGTAATTTGGCGCAACGACCCGAAAATTTTCCTAATGACGTGCGAAAGTATGAGTCCCTGCCATATTTTTAGAAAATTACACCGTGCTTGCAAAGTTCAATGCTACTTCCTCATATATTATGTCGAGAATCCCAAATCCCAAAGATACAAATCTCATTTAAGCCTATAGTTCTCATGTTTCGAAATTCCACATTGCGGAAGTTTTTGACTAAATTTTATTTTGGGAAAACATGCGTGCACTTTATTGGTCAATCCGCAATTAAAGTTGAAGCATTTCTAACTTTTGTGCAGATTTTTCAATTTGTCTTTATCCACGCTAGAAGAATTTTTGAAAAATTCTTCAGACATTTCGCCCCCGAAGAACTGAGAATTGAGCGTCTTTAATGCCTGCTCAACTTTTCACTTAGCTTGTTGATGTTATATTCTCACATATAAATAATCATTGATCTTTGTCGTTCTACGTTTTTTGATTCCCGATCTCCAACTATATCTGCCAATCCAGACAACCTCCTCTAAGTCTCTGGCCTCTCATTTCCTCCTGTCTCTACTCCGCTTCTTTTTGGTCTGTCTCCCCCTCAATGATTTGCTTCATCCAACTCCCAAATAAGTAACAATATGCGTATAATCGTTAT